TAGGACTTTATTCTGTGGAGCATGCACCCTGCAAGGGTAAGGTAAGGAGTTAGAATTAAAAACTGAGGTGATTGAAAGTTCTCATTTCAGGAATAGGACTGGTGCAAAGCACCATATAGGATAGTATGGATTCAGGTAAATAGGCAAATCAGGAGAGGTGAGAGCTACATTGGGTGGTTTTATCAAAATAGGATGAACAGAGAGCTGATTACTATGGGTTACAGTTTTAAAAACATTAACAAACTTGCTATTAGCTGTGTTACACAAGCTGGTCACTAGGTGGCAGTAATTAATCAGAAAACAGGGTGACCAATCAGAATTCTGGATAGCTTCAACTTAAATTTACTGTATATTGCAAATCTTGTAATCCAGTTAATGGAAATAAACATATATTTAACATTTCAAGTTCTCTTAGTGCCTTTACCAGTACTGACTGATAGGATTGTAAGCAAGTAGTTTGCCAAGTGAGAAGTATTTGTTACTGTTTCTCAAGCTTTTACTAACTTACTAGAAACAAATAGGACAATGGCTTATGTAACTAAGTCTCACTATATCACGTTGCATTTTGTTCAGATTAGATTTGTAGGAGCTAATCTAGTTATGGAAGATGTCCTAATATTTAAGATTCAAAGAGGCCTATTATGGTAGCAATTCATTTTAAAAGTATATAAGCACAGCAAGATTTGGAAGTTTTTCATAGTCCCATTACAAAAATTTTAAAAGTAGTCTAAGTTATGGAAGTCTGTTATGAGGATTGCAACATTGATTTAATGATGGGCTACAATGTGTAAAGAATTAAACCAGATGATTGGAATAAATCTAAACAGTGATCCATGTTCTCTTAAAGAGCTTATGTTTTAGTAGGGAAAGACTAGAAATAAGCAATAGGTGCACTACATTTTTCACTACTGTGTTAGGAGGTAATACATGCTATAGGACAACAAATTGGATGACAACAATTGTAGAGTGATTAGGATAAGCCTCACTAAGATGATATTTGGGCAAAGACTTGAAGTGATTGGTATGACCAAGGCTGCTATGTTGAAAATGGGAAATGACATTACTGCAGTTATTCCAAAAAGAGGATGGTGGTTGGGATCAAGATTCTAATGAATGGAAAGAATAAAGGTGTAGTTTTGAGTCTTTAACTAGTGGGTTGGTTATTGAAAGAAATATGTAAAAGAGTTACCAGGAGACAGCCATCTTAAACATTTGCAGTCCTGGGGCAAAAGTATGATGGAATGTCAGTAGTTAAGTATTTAAAAGTTTTGTTAGATTCTTAAAAATACCAGTGCCAGAACATTACTTGTGAACAGAGCTGCTCTTCAACTCCTGTCCCACCCTTTCATACCCATCTTTGGCTCTGAGAAGGCAAGGGGCCTCTTGCACATTGGCACATTCTAACAGCCTGCACATTCAGAATTATTTCCATTGCATACCAGTGCACATGCAGCAGATAATGCATTTTCTGGAACTTTTAGGCAGATTATAAAATCCTAGTACCTGAAGTGTCGTCTGGATTATCAACTCCACACTGACACATTCAACGCTGGCTCTAGTTTCAAGGACAGTGCTGCTCCGATGTTTTTGGCCTGAGCAACAGTACAGGTGGAATTGTTATTTATTGAGAAGGGCTGCTTGATAGAGTAGATCTGAATGGGGGCACATATATTTATGCTTATGATTAGACTTCTAAACACTACTGTAGAGAAGGTTAAAAAATATAGTAACACTACCATGGATTAGATCAAAAGGCTGATTTAAAACTTTTAAAAACTAGAAGCTTTGACTCCATACCTTTATCAGCTCCACCTGGGAATTTGCTTTAATCCATGTAAATGTGAATTCATTATATCCAAAATGCCACTTTTATTAGCAACAGCTTTATGAAGCCTATTTTTTTTAAAGATTTATTTATTCATATAGAACTGGGGTACAGGCCAGAGATGTGGAGGGTGAGAGGCTTCACCAGAGACAGAGGGGAGCAGAACAGGCAGATCGACGAAGTACACTGCTGAGGGGAGCAGCAGGCCGGTCAGGAGAGGTCTGCCACGCCATGTGGTCACCTCCGGGGCAGGCTGGGATTGAACTCATGCAGAAGTGGCTTTTGCTTCTTTGTGCTGTGCTTTAACCCACTGCGCCACCAGGGAGGACCTATGAAGCCTATTTTTTAGGATTCTAGAATTCTGTCTGTCCAGGACCCTACTCTTAATGTATTCAGTATGTGTTGACTTTCCTGACAGGCAGGTAGGCAATTTTTAATTTGGTAATGAGGAGTTGGATATAAATTAGGTTGTCTTTGGCACATAGATATTGAAAATGAGTTTGGATGAGATCAAGCTAGGAGTATATATGAAGAAGAGGTCCCCAAAGCCTGAGCAGTGGAATAGGCCAATATTAAAAAGATTAGGGGAAAGAGGAGGAACCTGTAGGGGACACTGAAACCAGGAAGGTAGGAGGAGAAGTAAAAGTGATGTGTTTGAAGTCAAATGAAGAACTTTCGAAACAAAATGATCAGTGTGTTAAGACACTGCTGGTAGACAACTTGATGCAGCCGTCATAATAGGGAATTTGAAACAGTCATTTCAAATTTGTTACCAAAGCAGTAATTTTGTCAGCTAACTTTCTAAACAATGGTTAAAACTTTTAAGTGATATTTGTAGATTTTTGTTTTAAGTTTTAGTGTTGGGACCAGGGGAGGAACAATTATTTCCTTTAATTCAGTTCTGTGAATATCGTTCTTTCAAAAACTGGCATACATTTTTGTGAGATGGTAGTAACTGTTGAAATAAAAGCAAATTTGCCACCAGTCCTGTACATTTCGAATAAATAAGTACACCATGGGATCAGAGAGCATATTGTAGCGTTAATCTGAGCTGCTCACAAAGTCACAGTGTGAAATACCCAACTATTCTATGTTTAAAAGCCTTAAGGGCTCCTGAAAATCATGCTGCTGGTTTAGGCATTTAAAGTGATTTAGACTAGAATGTATTTGTTGTGTCCCAACAAACCACAGTATATTAGCCATCTTAAATCCAAACATTAGTTTCTCCCAAGAGAATGGCTTCAGCTTCCAAATTACCACATCTTTTATCTAGTCAAGTTTGTGTTATAGCATTTTTCTGTATGCTATGTCTTTCCCACTTAACCCTGTCATCAGAGACTGAATTGCACACGTAAAAAGTATCCTTTCCAGATGAATTGAAGAATGCCATTCTGTTAAAAAGATGAACAGCTGATCATGTAGAAATTCTCTGGAATGCTCACTTGTCTACAAAGGCAAGGAAAGAACTAAGAAGTAGAGTGTAAGGTTTGTCCTTGGTATACAGGACCTTTAAAAAAAAATGGTGGTGGCGGGGGAAGTGCACTGGACTATGGTGATGATACACGGGTGAATTGGTGATGGGAAGCCCATGGGGATTACAACTGAGGTAGAAAAAGGCACAAAATGATGTAAAAAATTATTACTAAAAAACAGAAGAGGTTCAACTGCACTTGTAATAATGCAGTTTGAACTGAGACACTTTTTTTAAAAAAAAAAATCCTAACTAGGAAACTAATAATTTCAATAATTGCTTTCTTATTAAAAGTCTTTTAATCAACAATGTTAAGGCCCTGAGAACAGGTCAAATGCAATTTAGTGGGACCCAGGATAGTTCTAGAATTGACCCATCTGCTAAAACATTGTACATTAGATTAAGATTCAGGACCTTCCACATTCTTTACTTACTTTTATTCTCAGTTACCTTGCAATTAAATGGGAATTTCTTAGCATGGTACAAAGGACTGGTCTCTTGTTCAGCTCCCTAAGCTTATCTCTCACTTCCTCTTTCCTTCTTGAATTCTTTGCTTCCTCCACTTGTAACTAGCAGGTAAACTAAGCGCGCCCATCTTCCTTGTTAGACACAAGCAGCAAGCAGTCTTTCCTTACTCTGGCCAGCTCTGACTTGCCGTTCTTTCAAGGGGTTGTGCTTCCAATCCCCACCGACGGTACATAATCGGGGTTCTGTTTAGTGAATATACCCCTTCCCAAAAGGTTTGGATTTGGTTTATGTTCAACCTATTCTGTCCTCCAACATTTCTGTGGAAATTGTTTCAATGTGGGAGTGGGAGGGAATTAAGCGAGAGTAGTCACTTCCCCCAGATAAATGATATTCCACAACCGAGATCTGACCTGTTAGGTGACTGCAAGAGAGGAAGTTGAGGCCCGCATGCCATTCGGAGAGAGAAGTTGTGCTTTGAAGTGTGGGATCTCAACGTGGACATTTCTCCGGATTTAAGAGGTAACTGGTGAGATGTTGCAAGGTGTATGATGGATCAAGAAACAAGCTGGGGAGGCGTTGACCTGTGGTAAAAACAGACTAATCTTACACTTCTAGATGGAGAAAAGGAAGCAGAGCTGCGGTGGGTCACCTACCTTTATCCCTTCCAAATGGGATAGACGGTGGTGCTATTGTTTAAACAACCATCTGCTTTGTTCAAAGACCAGCTGCTTAATGATCATGAGCTAATGTGGTGTCAAGATACCGAGTCCTTTCGGCCTTTGTGCCCAGGGATGTTTACAAGGGTCCGGGGGAGGCACACTTCCGCCGACTCTGGCAGGAAAGCCTCATTCCCAGCTTTCTTGCCCGCCCAAGACCGGGACATTGGATCTGTGAGATCGCAGAGATCGGGCTGAAACCCCAGGGCGGGTTTCCGAAGCCAGAGAGACAACTTGTTCCTGGCACTGTCCGGTAGTCGCAACCTCCCACGCAGTCCCATCATTTTCGGAGGCTGAAGCACGGGGTCTCGCCGACAGGGGAGAAGCGGACGGTGGGGATGGCCTCTTTGCGCCCTGTGGACCTCGGCAGTCGTCGCAGGGCAGCCGGGGTGCGCTCCGCCGTAGACCCGAGTGGAGGAGCGGAGCTTCCGCGGCTCGGGCCCGGGCAGTCAACCCGCGCAACCAGCGCGGAAGCGAGTGGGCGGCGAGAGGCGGGGCGAGGGACGCGGGGGGCGTGGACGCGGCGGGCTTGGGAAGGGCCCCAAGTTAATGAGGCGTGCGCCGGCCGCCGAGCGCCTTTGCGAGCTGGGCTTTCCCCCGCGGGGCGGGCGCCAGGAGCCGCCTTTTCCGCTGGGTGTCACTCGGGGATTGGGAGGATGGCCCATTCAAAAGCGCCGCGAGGAGGCCCGGCCAGTGTCCTTCAGTGAGCGCTCGCAAGAGGACGGCAGCGGCTCGGTGGCTCGCTGCTCCCGGACCTTGTGGCGCATCAGGACGCGGCTGCCCCCCTGTCCCGATCCGGAGCTGCCGCTGCCGTCTCTCTGTTTCCTGCGTGTTAGCCTCCTCTGTGCCCTCCGGCCGGGCGGCCGCGGGAGCCGCTGGGGCGAGGACGGCGCGCGGTTGCTGCTGCTGCCCCCGGCCCGGGCGGCGGGAAGTGGTGAGACCGAGCCGAGCGGCGGCTCCCCTTATGCCGGAAGGATGCTGGAGAGCAGCGGCTGCAAGGCACTGAAGGAGGGTGTGTTGGAGAAGCGCAGCGATGGGTTGCTGCAGCTCTGGAAGAAAAAGTGCTGCATCCTCACCGAGGAGGGGCTGCTGCTCATCCCGCCCAAGCAGTTGCAACAACAGCAACAGCCTGGGCCGGGGCCGGCCGAGTCGTCCCAACCCGGAGGCCCCGCCGTGGCCGGCCTCGAGCCACCGGTCAAGCTCAAGGAATTGCACTTTTCGAACATGAAGACCGTGGACTGCGTGGAGCGCAAGGGCAAGTACATGTACTTCACTGTGGTGATGGCTGAGGGCAAGGAGATCGACTTTCGGTGCCCGCAGGACCAGGGCTGGAACGCCGAGATCACGCTGCAGATGGTGCAGTACAAGAATCGCCAGGCCATCCTGGCCGTGAAGTCCACGAGGCAGAAGCAGCAACATCTGGTGCAGCAGCAGCCTCCGCAGCCACAGCCGCAGCCGCAGCCGCAGCTACAGCCTCAACCCCAACCCCAGCCTCAGCCCCAGTCCCAACCCCAGCTGCAGCCCCAAGCCAAGCCTCAGCCCCTGCCGCTCCACCCGTACCCTCCACAGCCTCACCCGCACCCCCATCCGCACCCGCACCCGCATCAGCTACCACACGCGCACTCGCACCAACTCCCACATCCACACCAACAGCCGCTCTCGCAGCCGCTCGGCCACCGGCTTCTTCGCAGCACCTCCAACTCTGCCTGAAGAGGGCAGCACCGGGGCCAGACAAGTAAGGTCCTGGCAACTCGGGCTACCGAGGGCCGTTCCGAGGAGTGGGTCGTGGGGAATTTGGGAGGAGCGGGAAGCCTGCCCACGGGTTTGGCTTTTGAGTGGAAAAATGAGAAGTTACCCCAACTTTCCGGGACGGTATAAAGAGGGGGTTAGCAAACTCGAATCAGGAGAGGCCGTGCAGAAAGGGGGGTGGGGGTGTGGGGCTCCAGCCCCGCGGGGCGACCTCTCCGACCTCACCCCGCTGCCCACCGGACGCGAGCGTGTTGGGCCCGAGAGGGGCGGGCGCCTCTGGACTGTGTCTGGCACTCGAGGAAGCGACTCCGGTGTCTTTCTGAGCTCGCTTTGTCCTCTAGACTGCCCCGAAGAGTATGGGTCTTGGATTCTGAGCCACCACTTTATTCTATTTCATTTCTTTCCAGGTTTTGAGGACTTGAGGAAGTGGGACAAGCACATTTCTATTGTCTTCACTTGGATCGGAAACAAAACTGTCTCTCCCCCCTTCTCCCCCGCACCAGATCAAGTACTTTGGACATCACCCGACTTTGTGATTCCTTTAGTTTTGTGCAAACTCTTGATCACAATGCAGAAAACGATTCGGAGTCCAGAAGGCTTTTATTTATGAACATTCGAAAGGATCTTCCAGTATGGTGGACCTTCTAGGAGCGATGATGTACTGTAATTTTATTTTAACGTATTTTGATTTATGGTTATTTATTAGTTTTTTTTTTTTTAAATACTTGTTCTAAGACATTTCTGAATGTAGGCCATTTTCCAAAAAAGAAACTCATTTTCAAAAACTTATTCTCTAGTAAGTTTCAATCTTGGAAAAGAAAAAAGTGAAAGGGCGGTGGAGGGGAAAACATTAAGAATCCATTCATTATTTCTGGGGCATTTTGAGAAGATCTGACACTTTATTGTTATCCAGGTGGTTGAAATTAAAACTCTGTGATATTACTTTTTTTTTTTTTGAAGTTTTTCCCTTAGATATAAATTCTGTGTAGAATAGAAATTTATAAAGAAACTAAATGTTCATAATTGTGTAGTTAAGAGAATCTTGTTGCTTTTCTGAAAGGGAATCAGTAGTAATGGTATCTGATTCAAAATATTTAAAACAGCCAAATGGATGACAGGGTGATGATATCCGGATAGATGGTAAGACGGGGCTAACACAGGAAAACCTAGCTTGTTATCATGTGTAAAGAGTTCAATAAGGAGAATTCTGAGTATGAACCATAGATGTTTCATTTTAAAAAGTGAAATGAAATGAGATGGGGGAATCATTCAACTCTTTTGAGAACATTTGTGCTATATAGAGATTCCAAGAGCTTTGCTTACTACATTTGAGCCACATTTTCTGACCCTTTTACTTGTTCTAGAAACCTACTCTAGAGTCTCATAATACAGGATCCAGTTTGTAAATATTTCAAAGGATTAGGCGACATAACTTTTCATTCAGAAAATAATGCTGATCAGAGCAACTGTCATGCATTTTACTGCTCTGGACAAAATTTAAGGGATATATCTTTTGTTGTTTGGTTAGCCAAACTCAGATACTGAATGAGGAAGGACTGGATAAACACTGTATTTTCAGTAAGAAAACAACCCCAGTCTTGTTTTAATTCAGGAGTAGGGGGAGGGCAGATGATGTGCCTTGAAAGGTAGAACAAACCCTCTTCTGTGTTAATCAAAAGAATGGTCAAAAATCCACCAGGGCAGATGCTACTTAAGTTTTTTTAAGAAGGCAGAGAGGATACCAAATCCTGTTGGGACTGAAAATCACTTCCTATCTGCAAGGCTTTACTAATGGGGTCTTTGTTTTCCATTATCTATTTCACAAAGTCTTGATCAGTATTTTTCCAGCATACAAACTGGAATGGCCAGCAAAGTCAACAGCTAAGTTACACAGTCAAAAAGTGAAATAGAATTTCATGGTAGAGATATATGTTTATTCTTCCTCAGTGTAGAAAAGAATCTCAAGGTCAAATTGCATCTGAGTGCAGTATTTAAATGATGACATTTTGAGATTTTAACTCTAACGCCAGAAGTCATGGAGGAAACGTAAAACTGGCTGTTTTAGTTACATTTGTGAAATATGCTGCAAAGATTTAAAAATTGTTTGTGATGAGCAGCTCAGAAGATAGATCTAGAGTTCTTAAGTTTGATTGGACTTCTTTGGAACTACTACTGTACTTTTTAGCTAATGCCTCATTGATTTGTAGATCATATCATATAGCCTCAGTTAAACCACAGGTATTTTTTCCCCATATGGATGGAATGATTTTTTTTTTTTTCAAATTCTTGGGCTTAAAAAAATTAAGCCCATACTTATAGTTATCTTACATATAGGGTCAGTAGTATCTTTGGAGGAAAAGATACATGGCCAAGGGCCTTCTCAGGTCCTGGAATTATTTTTCTGGCTACCATTCTTACTGGGACCACCAGAATCATGGTTCCCTGTTTTTCTTTCCATGGTCTCTACTCCTTGGCCTGCTGTGATAATTGAATTTGGCTCCCTAGTCTGAATCCCCCTTAGCATTAACTGTGAAACCTGAGATATTAGAAAAGAGAGAAGTAGCATGATTTTTGTTTATCACTTTAAAATTATTTTGATCTACTAATTTTTCCAGCACAGGCAGGTTTCTTCCCAAGACTGCCCACCTGTGTCTGTGAAGGTGCCTCTCTTTCCTTTCTCTATTACCTAATAAAACTGCCCTTTTAAAATGTAAAAATAAATAAATAAATAAAAATTCTAGAACAAAAGGAAAGCATGCTTAACAAAACTCAACAGAACAAAAAAGAAATGCAAATCTCTTACTAGGTCATTGGCTCTCTTTTACCTATAAGAAGATAGTACAAACCAGGTAGAAGTATTATGAGACTTGACAAATTTTACTTTACATTGCAATGGCAAGATGTAAAAATATTTTTTCCAACTCAAGAAAGGGCAGGTCCAATAGAAAATTTACTGCTTGAATAAAATGTAAAGAGTTGAAAAGTGCAAAGGCATGTCCCAGTGGAAATTGAACTTTTGTCCTTCAACTTTTGTTAGCACCAAGCCTGGCATGCAGTAAGCTCAATAACTGTTTGTTGGGGAAAGTGAATGAAAGGAGAAATAACTATAACTCCTTGGCACTCAGGAGGTGGGTTGTCACGAACTGAAGAGAGCCTTCTTTGCTGTGTTCTCTGAGAACATCTAATACTGAGACAGGCTAAGAACCCTGATGGAGCATACTGGACCTACGTTCTTAGTGGAAATCCACATAAAACTGTCTATATTCTGCAAGGAATGCTGAGGTCAGCAAATAAGTAACTATAAAGGACCCCATTACAAATTAACATTTCCCCCGGAAGAAGCTGGGTTTCTCTTCATCATGTACAAATCAAACTAACATTGTAATATTGTTTCACATGCTTTTGCCAAAGGAAAAAAACAAAACAAAACAAGCTGTTCCATAAATGAGTTCCCTTCACATGCATATGATGTAAGGAAAGCTGGATTTAAGTTGAAAGGCTTGCTTTAAAATCTTCACTTGTCCGGGAAGCCCCATCACAGGTTGTCAGAGGGTAGGACCTTTAGGTGGGATTTGCATAGCTTGTGCCATTTACTCTTATACCAAACACTCTAAGCCCCCCCAACCCCCACCCCCCCATTTAAAATCTTACACTATACAAGTTTGTGGCCAGTCTGTGAGCTCAAACTTCACTTGCTTTTTTTGTCTTAGGGAAAGTGGCTTAGTTTTAACTAGGTTCCAGGTGTTTGCAAAATCAGATTGAAGCTTCGAAGAGGAGTCTTAAGATGTGAAACAGGAGCAGTTCCAGAAAACAGAACTTTGTAGGTTGAGGTTGGGTCTGTGAACATTTGTTTTCTATTTGTTTTGTAAATGTCTCATTGGGTTTTGTTTTATCAATAAAATGCTCTGGTTAAAATAAAATTTTAAATTGGGCAATTATAGAGCTTGATCCATCAGTTTTTTTTCCCAAGAGAAATAGCCTACTTCTAAAAAAAGCAACCTAAGATATATTAATTGTGGAATTATTTGAAATTGTTTGTGGAATTTTTAAGAGCTATTTTCTGAATTTTTGACACTATAAAGGGGAATTTTTGACTTTTTGATAGGGGGTTTTGAACAGCCACTCCAGTTTTATGTACAATTGAGTGGCAAAGTAATCTGTGACTGTGGGCAGAACATCTGCCAAGTGATGTGTAGGATCCCACAGGGTGTTCATAGAAAGGGCATTATTGTCTAAGGAAGAAGTGGAATGATTTCATCATTAAAAATATCTGAATTAAAACTGGAGAGACCTGCCAATTTCAGACCTGCTCTGAAATTGGCCTCCAGGTGGGAAAGGTTTTAACAATAGGCCGTCCTTCCAAAGCCCTCTACTGATTTGGGAAGGAGAGCAAAGCTATGCACCGTTTCACTAACCTGCTTAGTATCAGAGTATGCAGACACCAGCTTCTGAAAAGTAAGTGTTACCACATGCCAAGTTTTTTACGTTTGTGAAAATAATACTGTGGTTGTAATTGGTGTAAATAATTCTCAGGACTTAGGAGAAATGAGGTTTACTTTCCATATTTTCAAAATGCAATTCATTGCAAATAAAGTATCTATGAAGATGACTGACCTGAGTACCTTTTAAAGGTTTTCCTGGCCTGTGAGAGAAAGGTTCTAAAGGACTTGATTATCATAAAGGCATTTATTCTCCTTCTGGGAAGAAAAGGACCATTTTTGAGATAGGAAGTGCATTTTTTAAAAATTACCTGGAATATTAATAAATAATACAGAAATTCACTCATCTATGGATGCAATAATCAACAGTCAGAATACTAATGGACGGGAGTTGAATTTACCATAGTACTCAGGAGAATGAGAAATAGTCTGATGAAATAGCTTGAGGGCAGTTCCCTCTTGAATTCCAGAAAGATTTGACATCTCCTTGGTATGGAGAGGCTAAAGCCTTAACTCTTCAAACAGGTAACTTTCCGTTTCCTGTTTTATGTTGAGAGCTGAAGGAGGCTTGATCTTTTATAGGACAGTAGCATAATGTTTCGCTAACAGTCTCCACTGGCATCTAAAAGCCTTTAAATCTTAGCACTTTAAGAAGTTTGAAGCAATTGTCTGTTCCTTGACTTAGTCTCACACTGGCATCTTTTTCATTCTACCGTTGTATTTCTTTTTTTTTTAAGAAATGAAATCTGAGAGAAAAAATCACTGCCATTGCAAAGGGCCTCGAGAAGTACTGTGTGAAATCAATGTGTGTAGTAGGAGATAAAGCAAAGATGGCAGGAGTCAGGATTTGAGAGTCAGAGGATAGCAGGTTCTCAAAGAACATCATTTCATTCAATGTCAGTTTATTATAACACTGAAAAGAAAAAATAAATACAACAATTCCTGGCTGGAGCCACTGTTTGTACAGAGATTATGTGTTCCAGGTACTCTGGTTTTCTCCCACTTCCCAAAGATTTGCACATTAGAATAATTGGCATGTCTAACTTGTCCTGGGCTGAGTGATTGCCAGTATGAGTGTGCCCTGTTTAGATTTGAATCCCTCCTTGTGCCCTGAGCTGCTGGGATGAACCCAGCAATATTTTGACCCTGATCTGGAATACCCAGATTGGAAAATGATGGATGGAAGGAAGAAATACAAGTGATTGTTTATCATTAGAAGCACTTTGGAATTTTTGGGAGACGTTTGGTGATGTTTTTGTGATCAGGAAAATGTAGTAAGAACTTACCTTTTGTCTTTATCAAATGATCTATGGTAAAATTGATTTTATTATAATTGTTTCAGTTAAAATCATAGTTTTGAGGAATCCAGCAATGACATTGAAGACTTAACTGTCTATTAAAACTATATTGCATAATTTTGGCATAGGAAAACCTGTCACCACATGAGTCTATTCAGCAAGATTGAAGACTAGGAAAAAGATAAGAACAAATACTTACTTGCCT